TGCTTTGATATTACATATATAGGTACTACATGTGGACCTCTCTCAGATTTGTTCATTTTTTAATGATATCTTTAATTCTCTAATTTTGGTGAATATTTTTGTCATTTTTGGTAAAAAGTGATATTTTCGACTTCTTGTTAAAAACTGCAAGTCCAATTGCTTTGATACTACATATATAGGTACTACATGTGGACCTCTCAGATTTGTTCATTTTGTGATGATATCTTCAATTCTCTAATTAATTTATTTTGGTGAATATTTTTGTAATTTTTGGTAAAAAGTGATATTTTCGACTTCTTGTTAAAAACCGCAAGTTCAATTGCTTTGATACTACATATATAGGTACTACAAGTGGACCTCTCTCAGATTTGTTCATTTTGTAATGATATCTTTAATTCTCTAATTTTGGTGAATATTTTTGTCATTTTTGGTAAAAAGTGATATTTTCGACTTCTTGTTGAAAACTGTAAGTCCGATTGCTTTGATATTACATATATAGGTACTACATGTGGACCTCTCAGATTTGTTCATTTTGTGATGATATCTTCAATTCTCTAATTAATTTATTTTGGTGAATATTTTTGTAATTTTCGGTAAAAAGTGATATTTTCGACTTCTTGTTAAAAACCGTAAGTCTGATTGCTTTGATACTATTCATATTGTTCATTTTCTAATGATATCTTCAGTTCTTTAATTGAAATGTGCATTGCTAACAGCGGAGCTATCTCAGCCGATAGGCTGCTTGTTAAATGCAGTGGTGAACTTAGGTGGTCAATTTAGATATGTTTTGATCTGTTTGTTGTGGTGCTATACTAAACTACAAACTACTTCACCCTTCAAGAAATGAACTTGCCATGTTCTATAGTGATGGAAATAATGCAAAATATTGTAGATTCATAAGCATGCTGTGGGTATAATGTGAGAAGTATAATGTATTTATTTTTGTACAATATTATTATTAAGTTTTTTTTTTATTTTCTCATTTTTCAGATACTCCAGTATTTTTCTATTTTATTTTCCATATCACTCAACTGTCAGTGTTATCTGAATGTGATTGTGTAACAAAAAAGTATGGGTAAGTACAAGATGTCATTGTACACTTCAAAATAATACATCGGATTTCCACTAAAGGTTGAAATAGTTTAGCCTTTTCACCACCAGATTTTTTTGCCCAAATTTGTCTGCACTTTTTTCTTATATTCTTTAATATTTCTGGAAATGAACCCTAATTTTGGAGCCAACAGGCACAATTCGAGTCAAATTCAGCTATTTTGTCCCGATTTTCTGAAGGAAAGTGTAAGCTACTTATAGGACTATTTTGTGAATTTGTGATGAAAAGAGAGAAGTGGTGGTGAAAAGATTAAGTCATGTTAACTGTTTCACAACCTTTTTTTCCTGCTCATATTTAAGTAAAGTTATTCAGTTTCTGTAAATTTCACTGAATTTAATCTTAATTTTAAACCAAACAGACAGAATGAGAAATTACTTCTGGCTAGCTTTTGATTAAAAAAATTTGAAATTTTGTAAACGGGTTGATCTTAGTGATTGGTAATGAAAGTGCCATTTGCCAAATCGTTGACAGGTTAGTGGACACCTAATAACATGAATATGTAAATAAAACAACTGACATACATGTACATGTTGGGATAAAAGTTATTGAGAACATAGTGAAAACAAAGAGAACATTGGACATTTCTTGTTTTCAGCAGATACATGCAAGAATAATTTACACGTGCTCGTTCCACGCTTCAGCTACAGTATCTAAAATGTGTAAACCTGCAGGTCTTTGAACCTGCAGAACTATGCTGTATGTAAACTAATAAAAGGCAAAATGGAACAATGACAATTATTTTAGTAGATGTGTACTGTTGAGTACTTTAGACTATACTGTGGTAACCATTAAGACTTCACTCTGGAATGTTTTATATGACCTGAAATTTCATTTTATTGTGCAATGCGACTAGGCAGAAGTGTAGAATACAGTTTGAATGCAAACGATAATATGAATTGTTTGCAGTTGTCAACGCAAAGCTGCTGAAAAGGTTGTACCTGATTGGCTACCCAACCCTAATGTGTACATGTACTTAACTTTCAGACCAATCAGAGAGCAGATTCTTTGTTGAAATTTTTTTTTATCATATGAAAATCTATCTTGTAAACTTTGACTCAACTGGAGAATTAGCCTGGTTACTTCCTGTTATTTCCTGGGTCCTTCAGCCATCTACTTAAATGTTGCTTTGATTTCTGCCTCCATGGTCAGTGATGTTGATTGGCTGATAAATATAGCACATAGCTAACCTGAATATGCTAATTTTCCAAACAATGGATGACAGTGATGTTGATTGGTTGATAAATATAGCACATAGCTAATCTGAATATGCTAATTGTCCAAACAATGAATGACAGTGATGTTGATTGGCTGATAAATATAGCACATAGCTAATCTGAATATGCTAATTTTCCAAACAATATATGACACTGATATTTGCCACAGAGTTGAAAATACAGCCTTTAATTTGTTGTGATAAATTTATATATGTAATTGAGCGAAATCTAGGCAACATTCCCAGACTGATTTGAAGTGTGCCTGAAGACCTACAAAATAACAAGGTAACCATGCAGGCTAATGAAGAAGTTTGTATAAAAGCATACACTTCTGGAGTCTTAAAGTCACCATGAGTCACTTAACTATATAACAAATCCTCCTACAATATCCTGTGACTCACAAAAAATAAATTGTCTCTGATATTATATTATATTTAGTAACGCATTCATATGTTGTTTTATTGTCAGAATGAGTAATATTTTAATGATTCAGGATATAACAATTGGGATTTTTGGTTTATATGTGCTTTCATTGCAGATGCACTTCTAATGTAGCAAATATGGTATACAGTTTTGTAGAATCACTGACTCAACTTCCATTTGGTACACATGTTATTTTTCATGCTGAAAATTTGATGTTTCTTTATATAGTCTATTTTGCACCCAATGAACGTAATTTTATCATTGGTTGATGTCATTAATGCAGGTACATCAATAAAAGGTGCTAAAAGTTGACCGATATGGTTGACCAGCGTGCCGACTCTTGTCTGTGCGAACCACTTCATATCGTACCTTGTGTTCAGATTTGTAGATTAGCGTAAGAAATTTGAGCATTGTACTTCTGCAGTTGTCTACTGAATATATTTGTGGGATAGACAGATGGGGACTATTGAGTTCTCTCTATCACTTAAGTACGTGTCATACAAATGTTGCAGGTTGTTTCCCTCACGTAGCAGGTTGTTCCCCTCGCCCTTGTTATGACAATGTTAGTCCATTGGTTGCTCCTCTATTGGGCGTATACGTGCTCTGCATGGTTGAGTTGGTGTCACTCCCCTTTTCCTCAGTGCAAAAAATCTGCATGTCTGAAACAGGTGATTAGAATTGTTTGCGTATGGAGCAACTTAATTTTCCCTTTCATTCTGAGAAATGATATTATTAGGAGTACATTAGGTGACAAATGGCCGGTGGAAAATAACCTGTTTATGCAGTACTGGCCTATAAATACAATATGCAATCTGTTTCAATATTAGCGTTATCGTATTTGCTCTATTAGTAGCTCATGTGCTTATATAAAATACAAAGAGATATTTCTATGGTCAGAATAAGTCATACTGTAGAATATTTTATTTTTGCTTGGAATTTATTTTCGCTGAAGGGATGATTCCGTGAAAATAAAATCCAGCGAATATACTTTTTTTCCTATATTTCACATTAAACTTCCAAAACATCACAAAACACCCAAAAAGCCTTTTCAGCAAAAATTAATTCCAGTGAAAATAAAGTATTCCACAGCATTATTTAGTATACAAGATATGGTATTTGTTATTTATGTGCACTTCTAGTGGAGATGGTCTTCTACTGAAACAAATATGTTTATATTCACTATACTGTTGGCATAGGATTTTTATGTAGGATTTCACCTCAAAGAATTTGTCTACTCTCGCCATAGAGATCACTAAAAAACTACATTCATACGCAAGTGCGCATATTTTGCACCAAATTGACAGCATTTATATGAAAATGCATAATCAGCGTTGGACTCACTGAAAGTTTGTTTTAAAAGTCTCCTGTGAATATGAGAGCTGTTAAACCATGTGTCGAGTTTATGTACAACATGTGTATACTCGTCTAATGATTAAGTATGCTGAAGAGATATGCATGATTTGTTGTTAGACTCACTGTGTTAATTCATTGTTACCCCACTGTGTGTGGTCAATGAGCATGTTCTCTACATCGTGTATTTTCCCTATCCCGCAACATTCCATATCCGTAGGGTTCAGTGGGGATCAGTGAATTTACATTTTGCGGTAGTAGTCCAGCGTTTCTTGTAGTCTGTCTCATGTACATGATGGAGTTGTTTTATATTAAACCTAAAAAGATGAGACCTCAGTACAAGTCCAAGGACAAATTTGCCTAAATTTCTAAGCGCAAATTTTGCCTTTGCTAGGTTTAAAACACCAATTGTTATTATGTGTGACATCTGGGTGAATGCATACTCTTTAAAGTGTGTGAGGAATTTGCC